ACAAGTTCTCGTCAAGCTGATCCGCGCCACCTGGAATATCGTTGATGTTCTGAATCATAAATTCGATGAAATGATCGTCATCATTGATAAAACTTTATCTCATCTTAAAGCTCAAGCTCCTGCAGCTAAAGATTACGACTCTCTCTCCAAATATACATACATATATATATATATATATATATATATATATATATATATATATATATATATATATATATATATGAGCTTTCAGAGAGTGTTCGAACGATTAAGTGAACTTCAAAGCAGTGCCAGACTTGCATTAGATGTCGGGCTTTCCAATGCAAGAAGGGGAGAAGGAGCTAGTCAAATATAAAGAAGTATTCAATGGAAACTTGTCTCAGAATTTTACTCCGAGATGAGTAGTCCGAAGAATATATATACTCGAGGTTGAATCTCTCGAACCTCTTGAGTTTGGTGATGAAAAAGATGAAGACCTGATTGAAAATGGTGTTTTAGGACTTCAAGCAATCAGGGAACAACCTGTGAAGGTCCTTTCGTATGTAGATAATCTCAAATGGTCCTCGTTTACGTGGCCATCATCGTTAGCAGAAACATTCAGATAAAGCCGAGATATGGAAAAAATCAAAAAAAGCTAACCATCGACGCATTCTGAGCTACATAATCTATTCTTCCACCAATCCCTTCTCTGAGGATCATTCAGATCGATGAAGGTTCACCAACCTGGAAACCTAATGATCTCCCTGAAGAGCCTCTGGTCCCTCTTCCACTATAATTCATCATCACCGAAACCGGTCAACAAATCATCTCTGACTTGAATGAGCCTCCACAAGACAAAGGAAAGAAGAATGCTACTGAATCAGACAGCCTAGTGAAGACGTCAAAAATGTATGAGGGCTGGTCTCAAGAACAAATAAATCAAGCTTTGGAAGAAAGCATCAATATTCAAGCACTGAAATACAATCTGAATCCAATGTTAGGCATATCTCCTCTTTTCTGAGAAGGAGTTATTAACTATATTCACTTTGTGCCCTTCATGCATTATGATCTACCAACTTAGGATGCTGATGAACTTGACTCCTCACAGTCAATTCTACATCAAGTATGTTCCTCTTCATCCGAATGATGATCCTCAAATAATCATCAGGACAAAGTGTGAGAGATTGAGAACCTTCTACTCCTTTAACGTGCTTCCTCAAAAAGAAGTGTGGTCTCGGAAGAAGATTACCAAGATCATTGGATACGGTAACAAGGTTCAGAGCATCTTCCATCCCAATTGTATGTTGTACAGATATTATGTATCTAGGAACAAAGAAGCAACTATCAACATCACGGATGTCGACTTTCCCTCAATCAGCCCCAATGACATTCTCACCATCGCTGCTGACTTCTTAGATCGCCAAACAAGTCGAGTGAATTTGCTGAATCAATTTCTTAAAGGACTACGTTGCTGAATTCTGCAAGTCCGAAATTGAATTTGCTCACTTGTTTAAAACCGATAACGTTTCGGCAAAAATCACTTACGAACTGCCTGAACCTCAGATCTTAGCAGAAGGCCCCGTTGAAAAAGCGGAACTCAGCTATGTATATCTCAAAAAGAAGACTAACCGAAAAGAATTCTTTAAAATTCTTCATAAACATTTAGTGTCGACGAAGATCATTTAGAAGTTCATCTCCAACGCTGAAAAAAGTGATTCTCCTGAGCATGTGAAGGAGAAGTTCATCGAACACCTCAAATGGTATTTAGAAGTCTGAAGCTAGCTTCACAATGCCTATCTCTTTGTCTTTGATGAAGCCCAATGAGTTGATTGATTTCTAAGTTTACTTAGGGGATATTTGTTGCTACATAAAAGTGAACCTCTAGCAATCCCAAGCCAACCCAAAAGCAAAGTCAAGTGCAATCTGAGATGTGAAGAGTTCCAAAGCCAGTCTTCTTCCGAGATGAAGACTTATCCGAGAGATTCATAGGACAAAATCAAGTAAATTGTGTGTGTCATCTTTTCTGACATATAACATTTACATTCTCCATGAAAGTCTTGTGTTTTGTCTTATTGTCTCTCATTTCCTATTTAAGGAGATGATTTTTCCATGCATTGTAACCTTGAAGTAAAAATATTCTCTTCATATCAAATAAAAAATATCTTGCAAGTCAAATCTATTTCTCGATTATTATTGTTGTTCTTAACTTATCTTTACTTTGCTCATATTCACTTTACTTTACTTAAATATTTTGTTGAATACTTTGTTGATCTTCATACTTTCAGACAAGACTGGTTTAGCAGACTTGACTGGACCAAAATATTCGCAGCCAACATTGATCTAAAGTTAATTCAAGGTTTGAGTTTTCAAACCTTGTCCGCACACTAAGTCTTGCACTTTCATCTTTTGGTTCTGTGAGGTTGAAGAAGGCTCTTGTGGTGCTTCATTTTGGTAATCTACCTTCTACCTTTTGGTCTTGATGAGCTTTTTGGCATTTATAAGTCATAAAGCTCTTACTGTTTTGCCTCATGCATGCTAGATCTAAGCTTTAGAGCCTTTCTTTGCATTGTTGGGTTGTGTAACATGCATGGGATCCATAAAGTTTGCAACTTTATGGATCATTGAGACATCTTCTTCATGCGAGTCCTTGGATCTGAGTTTTTGTGTTAGTTTTGGACTCCAAGCATGAGTCTTGATCTTATTACCATTCTTTTAACCTAGTTTGTGTCTAAGTCATTGGACATGCATAACTGAAAAGCTACAATTTTTATGGTCCTTAGGATCAAGGAAGGTGCAATGGAAAGTACCAATGTATGTCTTAAAGGATTAAGAGCTTAATTCTCAAAGTTGGTCAGAACCGATCTCACGACGTAGTGAATGGAACCTCACGACATGAGCAAGGTAGTTGTCGCGATTGGAGGATTTTGTTGGATGGGTGAAACTGAGTCGACTCGTTGAGTTGGAGCAGGTCAAGTCCATTCTCACAAAATGAGCCTTAGTGGTCACGACGTGAGGCTGGGCTGAGGGGAAGGTTGACTTTTGACCCAACACGTTGACTTTTGATCAGAGTTGACTTTTGGTCAACTCTTGGTTTTGAAGGGGTAAACCTAAGGTTTGCCTTGTATGATTATCTAGGTGTGAAGTAACACCAGTGTAGCTGACCGTGCTAACAACAGTAGTTGATTATCAATCGAGATGTGAGTTTCCTTCATTGTACTCATGGGTCGCAGGAACCAAGGCTGGCCCACTAGACTATGTATGTAGGATGGTAATTACCTTCGTGAAAATTACACGTTATGTCTGCATATGATTGATGTCTCTGTGACTTGTGCTGATATGTATGCATGCTAGCTGTAAGGGTGAAATAGACCCGATACTAGTTGAAAGATATCGAAGGGCTTGAAACATACCCAATACTGGTTGAAAGAGACCGAAGAGGTTGAATTAGACCCAGTCACTACTACAAAAATAGTCTTTTACGACACGCAATACGTGTCGCAAAACGCTCAGACGACACGCAAATTTGTGTCAAGGATGGCCCTGTCATAACAAAAGATGACACGCTTTTACGCGTTGTCTATTTACGACACGCAGTTATAACACGCATTTACGACGTTCCTTTATGATACGCAATGCATATCTGGAAGCCCCTATCATACACGAAGACGACACGCACTTGCATGTCGTAACCTTACGACGCGCGCGTTTATGACACGCAATGCGTATCATTAAAGCCCCTGTCATCAAGGAATACGACACACATTTTTGCGTGTCATAATTTTAAATTTTTTTAAAATTATATGTTTTTGATAGATTTACTAATTTTCAAATTAAATAACACATTAAAAGTCTGATAATACAAAATAAAATACTATAAACAAGAAAGATAATTCGTTGCACTAATATGTCAAATACAAATAATCATTTCAATAGTAAGTAAATTTAACACATTGTGAATATTGCATAATATTTATTAGGGAAAAACAAAACATGTACAACATTAAAAGAAACCCATGAGTAAGTTCTCATTTGACAATCTCCATGGCAGCTTTAAGCCTTGCAACTTCACCACTTAAACATGCATCAACTCATCTAGTGTCGACTCTTTTTCTACAAGTTTCCTGCACTTGGAGATATAAAAAGTGTTATCTTGTTAACAAAAAGTAAATTCCATTTTTTTTTCAACTCAAATCAATTAAGTACGTTGTTATTTTTTTCAATTTAACCAAAAAGACCTAAATGCATGAAATAGCAACATATTTTGCAAGAAATAGAAAAGTACATTGCTACTTCGTACACTTACCCAATGTCTCCAATAGCAAAAGTGTTTGAAAATGTTGTTTCTATGGTTGATGAACCTGTCAAAGTTGTAAATTTACTTAATAAAAATGCTACACCCCAGGAGCCTAATGTTACAGTTTGAGTGTTCTGTATCTAACATAATATGTATGATCATTTTCCAGGGGAAGTAGTACCACATGCAAATGCAACTGAACCATTGGAAAGAAACTTGTAGGAAACTTATCATGCTGAAGTTGGTCCAAGTAATACAGTAGTCCAAGTGGCATCTAGAATACTACCAAACAGACAGGTGGATAATTTAATAATTGAAAGAGATGTTCAGGTTTATAATACCAATAGCTACACATCAAAATTCCACCTTGTATAAATTTTTATAACAAGAAACAGAAATAATGGAAAACTTATATAAATTTTTCTTACCCTTACGGTACTGTAAAAGGGGTTCTTGTTGAGCAGCCTGTTCTTCAAGGTTCTTGTTGTGTTTCCGTGCCCATCTCAGTAGTTGTTGAAAAGTATTTCTTACTTCTTCAAGTTCAGCTTCACTCCCAAAGGTACTCAGTTGTGGAATCTCAAAATTGCACTTCTGAAGAAGAAAATAAGCCGCAGATTCAATTAGCGTAAGAAGGGTAATATGGTCCAAGAACTCAACACTTTGATCATAGGATGGATGCATGCCCATGTTCAATGTCATTTCCCTAACCACAGTGGAACCCGCACCTTTCCAGAGAGCTAAACCTCATTCATTTGTAGTGATTCTGTAGAGGGCATGGAATGCCTTGTGAATTTTTCCATAGCAGCCTATAATAGTAAATATAAATAAATATATATATATATATATATATATATATATATATATATATATATATATATATATATATATATATATATATATATATATAAACATATCATTACAGGATATTTAGAAGAAAATTTGGGCAATCTTGGATTTGACCTCGAAAGGACCATTATCTGTTCTAAAAGTGATTCCTGGAACATATTTGAACCAAATAGGAAAACCCCTAAAATCGAAATGACAGAGAAGTGTAACTTATTTGTGAAATTGTTAAAAATTACAAGTAAAGATTTTACTATTTCTGTAAAAAAAAAGTTAATTACCTAAAATTCCATTCAGCACAAGCATAAGGACCAACTCTAAGATGAGCATAAAGTCCAGCTTTCTTAATCAGCTTAATGAACTTCACCAAATCATACCTATCTTCGAAATAATACTGGGAAAGAGAAAATAAATCTTGAAATTAAGAAAATTATTTAGTAAATTAAAATAAAATATTATTTTATTTCAAGAAATACTTACTTGACAAGGTTGTGGTTCATGTCCATTCCAGAAAACATAAGTTTGAATCACATCTAACTCTCCTTCTTTTTCCTTCTGGATAAGATCTGGCCACATCTAAAACATCAAAGTATATAACAAAAAGATTCAGAAACATGGTAAATAATAAATTCCAGAATATGATTCTAGGTAAAAAGATGACATTACAAAAAGGGGAAATTAAGAAACTCAGGAAACACATGAAGTGCATTGATAAGTAGTATTTTCGTGAGTATAAAAAGTGAAAGACCATAATCAATGTCAATCATGCAAATAAAAATTGCAAAAAAGTTAAAGACCATAATCAATGTCAATCATTCAAATAAAAATTACAAAAAATTGTACGTAGAATATAATCCATGTAATTTAAAAATAAATCGACTTACGATCCAATGGCGAGCAGATAACGGATTATAATCCCGCATTGCTTGTGATTCGAATTTAAGTGTAACATCCCGAGATTTGGCAAGTATTTCCGAATCCTCTCTTCTATTATTTGATTGTTATTTGTAGTCCCTGGAGTTGGAAGAGTCGAGCCATGTGAAGCCTAAGGGCTAAAGTTGCAACTTTGGGATCAGGAAAAGTACGCTAAGCGTACATAAGGTACGTTGACCGTACTAAGAGTGCCCTATTACGATGGGCGTACACTTGTGTACGCTAAGCGTAGTCACGTCAGATGGAAACCCTAATATTTAGGCTTTGGGTGCTATATAAACGACCTTATGAGCTCAAAACCCTCACTCATTTCAGACTCCATAACTTTGAGCCGTTTTTCCCCAAACCCTGTCCCTTTTCTTGAGTGTGTGACCTAAAAGTGTGTGTTTTGAGTAGTTGGAGAATAAGGTGTAGCTTTAGAAGTTAGAGAAGGAAGACACGATTTTAGATCTGAGGTTTCTTTGTGCTCTAGAAGCTCGAGGAGGTATAAAGCTCCAACCTATAAGCTTGTATGATGTAGATCTTGCCATGCTAGCTTTATGAAACCATTTCTTGTCCCTAAAGTCCCAAGTTGGTGCATGTTATAATTTGAACGAGATAAGTTGTCGTTTCAGACCTTAGAAGGGGTCCTAATTGATAAAAATGATATCCCAATGGTTTAAAGTGTCACATGCATGTAGTAGAAAGGTATTAATGGGTTAAGACCATGAATTAGGAACTTTCTGTACGTCCAAATTCTTAAAGTTCAAGACTTTATGGTTCTAAGGCACATTTGGTCGATGCATCTGGAGTTTGGACTTAAGTGCTTAAGCCATTAAGCACTTACTAGGGTATTGGTGAAACCTTGCATACGCCCCGCGTAATTTCTGTACACCCAGCATAGTGATTCAACCACCCCGATGGTGGTCAACGCAAAACAGAAGTACGCCCAGCGTACCAGAGGAGTACATCCTGCGTACGCCTTCTATTCGGCTTTTGATGATATGGGATTCGGGGTTGGGCCACTTTTGGGCCTGGTTTGACATAGGCCTTGCTGGACTTTCTGAATAATTGTGTTTTAGGCCGGTTTTGAATTTCGATCTTAAATAAGGCCCAATTAGGGAGTTGGGTCCAATTAGGAAAAATGGGCCATTAATGGGCTTTAGATATTTGTACTTTTAGATCATGGATTTGGTAGTGGGCCTTGGCCCAAATTACAGAAAAGGAAATAATGGACAATTACCCTATGTGGGACCTTTGGTCAAGATTGATATACAAATTGTTGACTTAGTATTCGTTATTTTGGATAGTTCGGGATTTTCGGTGAGACAGCGGTCGGAGACTTTCAGTCCATTTCAACAGTACTTGTGAGGTGACTTTCAGTCACTATATCAACAGGGTCTAAGGCACCAAGGCCGACCCTTTATGATTTGTATCCTGGTTATATGATGTTTGCTATGTTAATGATCTGTTAGATCGGTATCCTGGTTATAGGATGGTTGCTATGTTAGTGATCGATTAGATCGGTATCCTGGTTATAGGATGGTTGCCATGTTAGTGATTTGTTAGATCTGTATGACTATAGGTAGTTACTAGCTAGCGTATGATATTTATGTGCACATGATTGTTGGTTTGGGGGATTGGGTCCTGCTTTGTGCTATAGGCCAAGATACCCAGGGCGGATCAGATAGACTGCAGACCTGATTATGGCATACTAGTCAGGTCGAAGTCCTGGCGAGCGGTCCGGATAGGCTGAAGGCCCTGAGAGGCGGTCCGGACATACCGATGGCTAGGAGAGCGATCCAGATATAATGATGGCATGTGAGACGGTCTAGTCAGACTGATAGCTCATTATGCATGTTGTGTTTGTTTATATGATATGGTTACATATGTATGACATGGGTATTTTGGGGGAACTCACTAAGCTTCAGGCTTACTTTGTTTACAAAAGAAGCAAGTAATGAGCGAATGGAATAGAGTATAACCACTTAATTAATAGTTTGATTTGTGCTCCATTTTGGAAGTGGGCTAACTTTGTTTACAAAAGAAGCAAGTAATGAGCGAATGGAATAGAGTATAACCACTTAATTAATGAAAAATCATTTTTGTCTCTTAGGATGATTTTAGTTTCATATACCTTATTGTATGGTTCTCCACGCTTACAATCACCTGCCATGTCCATTCTAGCAACAAAAAAATGTTGGTGAACCTGTGAATATAGTCCTGGTGCAATTGTAGTCCCATATTTTAACTTCAACTTCAATCTTGCCATCCTACAAAAATGAAAAAAAAAATCAAGCAGCATTAATTATAATACATATAAACTGTTAGTATTTGTTTTATTGAAATAGTTATAGATAAAGTGACCTAGTAAAAGTGCCAATAAAAACCATATTCATAATTCGCAGCGTACAAATAAAAGAAATTGTAAGGTGCTTGGAACTTCTGACTTCCGCTAAACCGGTTCTCCAGTCTTGATGCTTCCAGAGGATTCCATGGTCTTCTTCTTGCATACATACACAATTTTCAATTGTTCAACGCCTCCAACGAAGTTTGTAAAATGTGCATCAAAGTACTTGATGTATCCTAAACAATCACATCGTTGTAATTAAGGACAAGAATATTAATTGTCAGAAAAGTGTTGGAATTAATAAAATAAGAAATGAAATTCCATATGAAACAAACTTTTTTTAAGAGAATGAGTATTCTTTCAAAGGTCATCTTCCCCAGCATCAAATGCGTTTTTTTAGTAATGAGGTTCATTTGGGTCACAACCCCTGTTGGACTTTTGCAAGAATGATAATGACTTTACACCAAATTAAGGAACAAGGGACAGAAAAGTAAACTTCACAGTGGACAAAATGTAGGTATGAGAGGTAAGGGTAAATGTGGAATATAGGGAGGTTTAACAATCAGAACAGGGAACAGAGAAACAAAGCCAAAAGGTTGAACATTTGTTCACTTTGAAAGAAAAACAAACAAAAATGGGGACATTTCCCATCAATATACACCATGCCCTTTTAAACTAAACTATTGCAAAAAATAAGGAACTGACTCCACACTATTACCAAAAGACCAGGGAACACTTAGCCAACATTGGCATTGACTTATTCCATTCTAGTACTACTTAATAAAACAAAATAAAAATGTGCAGAGACTAAAAATATGACCAACGCTCTGAATTACTTTAACAACCCCTTGTCTGATACACAGTTGAAAATACCATCAACATTAATTTGAGACCTGAAAAGATCCCAATATTTGAATAAATTGCTTCCAAGTGTAGAAAGAAATCTAGGGCACACACATGGAGAAGAAGAGAAGAATCTTCGAACTTGATGCCTCCATGAAGACATAATCCACATCCACCTAGCCATGGTGGCCTGTGGTGGCAGGAGGCATCACACACCGGCGGCTGGAGGCTGCCGGTGGTGGTTTTATGGTGGTTCACAGTGGTGGACAAAAAGAAAAAATCATATAAACAAAAACTAATGACTTGGAAAATATGAATCTGAATACCATACACATTACAACACCCACACATACAACCACAACCACCTAATGGTTGTGGGTGGTGGCAGAGAAACACGTCGGTAGCCTAGGTTGCCGGCCATGACGGTAGGTGGTGCTTGACGGAAAAAAAAACAAAAAAGAAGGAGAATAAAAGAATAGGAATTGATACCTTAGGCTGGAGCAAAGTTTGTCTTTAGGTCCTCTTCCTGCTTCTCCCTCGATAGTTACTCAAAAATCCGACAGCCCTACACAAAATCTCGAACAACTCCCTCTCTAGCCATTAGGATGAACGAATGGAAGATTAGGGTTATTTTGGGATGCTAAGGGTTTGGTTAGAAGGGATGTAAGAACTAAATATGAGCAATCGGACCTAACAGAAGAGCCCAAGGGGACCCCTACATCAAAATGTGGATGCCAATTAGGGTTTTATTTTCATGTAGAGGATGTAGTGGGAGGTTTTCTTGCAGTGAAAAGCCTGAGTTGTGTTAGACGAACAAAGAAGGGTTGGAGGTGCTGGAGGTGGGTGAAGACGAAGGCCCAATGGTTTCTTTCTTGCTAATTCAAAGATTAGCGTCGATGAAAGAAGGTGAAGGCATCAGTAGAGGGAACAAGGGAGACTGGTCAAACAGGCGGGGGTTTTAATTTTTGGGGATTCCATTTCCCCCCCTTGGCTATTAAAACTATAAAACGACATGCTTAGATGACACACATTTTATAAAAAGCGCCCTCCGTGTTTTTTTTTCGACACTAATTTTAGGGCAGGCAAAAATACGCGTCCTAAATCCTTCAAATTTCTGCAGAGATGACATTATTTTTAGGTCACACCCTTTTGCGTATCATAAATCAATGTGTGTCGTAAATCGCGTGTCATTAAAGGTCTAATTTCTAGTAGTGAGTACCGGTTGAAAGAGACCGAAGGGGTTGAAATATACTCAGATATATTTGACTGGATGTATGTATGGTATGGGGTATTTTGGGGGAGCTCACTAAGCTTTGTGCTTACAGTTTTCAGTTTACGTTTCAGATAATTCCAGCTCGAAAGGGAAGGGTCTTGCTTGATCATACCGCATCTGCCCATGTTTTCCCGCATTCATGTGATTTTCGGATTTGTACTCTGATATTATGATATTATGATATACTCTCGACTGTTTTTATATAATCATCGTATGATTCATCGAAATGAATTTAAAAGCGAAAATTTTATTTGAACTTTTGGATGTTACAACATATGCTTGAGTTGTTATAGACCATTCAACATAAATTTGAAACTACAGTAAGTGTTTTGAATTTATTTTAAATATCAACTTTCTACTTTGTTTGTATACATTTATCTAATTTGTTTATTTTGTTTTCTGTTTCAGAGCATGTATGAATTTGCTTCGCTAATCAAATTAAAATTATTGCCATGAAACTACTTCCTAGTTTAATTGGCAAAGACTTAGAGAATCAGACATAACTCGATAATAGACTAAATTTAATATTAATTTTTTTGTGTTAATCAACATTAAGATGAGTGTTGAATGCTATAATCGAAACAAAATGAAAGTAAAATGCTATAATTGACATTAAAATGAAAGTTGAATGTTTTAATTGAAAGAAATGAAAGTAAAATGCTATAATCAACACGAACATGAAAGTTAAATGCTATACTTGAAAAAAATATGAAAATAATAGATCCTTTTACAAAATTATACTTTGAGAAATATTATAGTAAATTATTTTGAATGTTGTTTTAAAAAATGCACAAAGAAGAGTGCAGTACAACATGAATGTTTGTTTTGATATTATAGTGAATTTATACACCTGGAAACTGGAAACTGGAAACTGGAAACTGGAAACTGAAAAATTGGAAACTTGAACAAATATACTAGAAATTTTGTAATTTTTTGCTATTTGTATGATGGTGCGGTTTATTTTAAATGGTGTGATTTTATTTAATGGTACGAATTTAATTAATGGTTAGTTTTGTTTAATAGTGTGTAACTATTTAATGATCCTACTATTTTATTGATGTTGTTACGGTTTATGGTGTAAAGTCAATTCACGCTTGTTTTTTTTAATAGTACGTAAATATTTAATGTTGCGAAAGGTCTTAAGGTGCGGTTGATATTTAATGGTGCGACGTATTATTGATGCGGGTGAGATTTAATTGGTGCGGTGTCTGGATTCCAAGAGGCCGTTTATCGGTGTTTATCGGTGCGGTGATTTGACCTTTTAGTGTGGTTTAGGTAACCACATCATTAAATGATGGTATTTAATGGTGCTTAGATTGTTGTTGCGGGTGAATCTCGCACCAATTAATCATTCTAACCACATCAACAATGTATTATGTACTAGTGATAACCGGCGATGTGTCGCTGCTAAAGTCAATAACAACAACATTTGATATTATTATCCGCGATAACTATCACCGCTATTGCTCTCTTTTCTTGTTCTGTCATGCTGTGACACTTGGCGCCTAGAATTTGATGCGGGCCGGTGTGGTCATCATGCCGACCCTCATGAGAGGGTTCACGGGGCACCATGACATCTCAACATCATGGTTGGGAGCAGGGTGTCTCACGTCGTGAAACCCGTCCATCTCAGCATCGCGGCTGATGGGTGATCAGGTGTGCTTGAATGAAAGCTGCCTGAAGGTGCGCAAGTCTATTTTTCCAGATTTACAATATAGCCCTCTAATATTTCAATGTATATGACTGAATGTGAACACTAATATGAAGTCCAACACTCAGGACTGGTACCATGTACTACGTTAATTATAGATATGGGGCCAAAATTTAATATTGAAGCTACCTTGAAGGGACATCTTCCGCTCAAAATTTTGCTAGCTAATTAAATAGTTACTATGATAAGTTGATTATTCCTTCTTGCAAATTTGTAATCTGTAACCTTTTTCATTGTGATCAATTCGTGTAGCTATATCCTACAAGTCTGCAGTCATCAACAACAATCGTTATGGGAGCAGAAGCTGGCCATTATGAAAGAAAGAGCATTCACGAGTCCATCAGATTACTCATAGAAGGTGAATCAATACGACGGGGTCAATTCGAACAAACTAATGTCACAATTTGTATGGTACCTGATACACTCAGAAATCTCAACCCAACCGCCTATACACCTCTAATAGTCTCAATTGGTCCTCTTCACAAAGAGAACCCACATCTAAGAGCTATTGAGGTGCAAAAAGTGACTCACATGTATAGACTATTTCTTCGAACTAAGGAAACCACGGGGAAGGCTATAGAGCAAATAAGTTATGATTGCGCACAGCCAGTGCTTGGGCTTCTAACACGTGCAAGAGCTTGCTATGCACCAAGTCTTACAAACTATGAAGATTTCAAGCTGGCTGAAATGATGGTTATTGATGGTTGTTTTATACTTGAACTTCTCTACACGTTCAAGTATGGAATTGGAGAGGGTGATCCAATTTTCGACAATATTCTGGTGATGCGTGACATTCAACACGACCTGCTGCTTCTAGAAAATCAAATGCCTTTCTTTATTCTTGAAATATTGTTTACGATCAATATTTTTTAATGTACTTCGTTAACTGACCTTGTCTTTTATTTCTTCAAGGATATGAATATCATAAATAATAGCCAACTTACCACAATTGATGGAACAGACACAGTAGAGCCTTGTCATATCCTTGGGCTTCTTCAACACTGCTACAGGCCCGTAGCTACTATGCGAGGCCGATTTCCAAATATCTCTTACTCTGCAACTGAAATCGTTCGTGCAGGAGTCACATTCAAGGAACAAACTGAAGAATATTCTCCACTTGCAGTGAAATTTATACAACCCTCTCTTGTTCCGGGGTTGGGTACTCTATTTGTTAGAGAAACCTGTTTGAAAATTCCAGTATTGTGCATCCAAGACACCACCGCGTCGTTCTTGAGGAATCTCATTGCCTATGAACAGTGCTACCCATTCAGTCGTCATTATGTTACCTCTTTCGCCTTCCTCATGGACAGGCTCATTGACACTAAAGATGATGTTTCGTTGCTTGTGAAAGCAAAAGTCCTTCAACACAAACTGGAAGCCATCGAAGATGTAACAAATCTCTTCAACAATATTTGCAAAGGTGTCGTCCTTCGGGAATTTTATTACACTGAGGAATGGAGACAATTGGATAAATATTGCAAGCGTTTCCGGCCTAGCATATTAATTTGATTGAATCGCCTCTATAGAAGTACTACATGGAAAACGTTGTCGGTCATTGCTGCCATGATCCTGTTCGCCCTAACATTACTCCAAACTATCTATACTGTTAGAAATGTTTGAGATGTTAGAGAGCAGTTTGAAGATTGACTAAAGTAAGTTCTCTGAACTTGTTGAGTTTTGAAATTTTCTGTTGACGTTACATACCCTTTTTTTTTGTTGCTTCTAGGGATACTTTTGGTCATTTTAATCTGGTTGCTGTTGAAGTTTGACTAATAGTTGGTTCTCTTGGCGTTGCCTCCGATTGGTTGCATTACTGTTACCTTTGTAGAATGTGGTTGGGTTTCGAAGGTGTTAATTACGTACTGCAGTGTTATTGGTGTTTGATTTGTCTTGTTAATTCCTTGTCTTCAAGGAGATTAGTTGTTTAATTGTATTATTTCTAGCATGGTCGTCTGTTTGGCTGGTTAGCATTTCCTCTACTAGTTTCTGTCACGTGTTGTTTTTCTTCTACTTTAAGATCATGTGGTGGTTGTTTGTTCTGTTTTGTTTCATATTCCTTGCATCATTTCCGACATCCTGCTGCTTATCTTGTCTTAATATATATGTTTCCACGCCATTCAATTTTTTTTTAATATTATCTAAATGGAAAGTTTACTATCAACGCCTTACCATTTTAACATTTAAAGGATAATTGAGTAATCTAACCTTATAAACTACCCTTTTCACAAAAATGACCTAATTTTTTTTGGTAAAGTAGCCACATTCTCCGAAACAAATTGTTCCAGAGAGGTCATCGGAATTCCAGAATACGGTTCCGGACCATGGTTCCGGAATAGATTTGATTTTTTGATTTTTATTTTAGTTTTTTGTTTTTTTTTTGCATGTAAGTTTTGCTTTCATAAAATGTACAATTTTTTATTTTATAAAATGTATAATTTTTTGTTTTATAAAATATTAAATACAATTTAAATGAACAAACAACTAATAAATATATAAATAAATAATTGATATGTACGTCATATTACAAATATGATGTTCAAATTATCTTTGTGATTGTACCCCAAAATATTTCCGCTAATCGTTTTCTATAACCCATAATCCATGGACCGGTCATTTTACCCTCTATAAAAATCGATTTCCCGGTGATCAACGCCTCCAACAACTAACACAAAAACAACCACAATCTCTTCTGTTGTCAATCTATTGTGGTGTGTTTAGGGCATTTTTGAGGGTCGCCTTGAATCTCTCAAATGGGATTGAATCAGTTGGTTTGGTACCCCAGTAGTTGTCTCCTACTAGCAGTTTATGGATACGGACTCTCAGACCTATAAACTAATCCTCATTTTTTGAACAGGAGCCACCCTTCTAATGACTATCATATATAGTCATTTTTAATGTCTTCAAATTTAAAGAACCTAAAAACCAATGAGCTTGTGGTATGTTAATTGGGATGTAAAGCTACAAAAAAAAGGTTAGAAATAATTAATTAGTATATAAATACTCAGGTAATGTAATCCAAACAAAATTATACCGTATCACACTCTGCCGAAGCTGGGTAAACGGATCCATCAGCCATGTCACTCTAGTCATATGTATCAGTGGGGAAAGTTGATGGCACAACCGTTCATCGAGCATCATCTTCTGTACGCTCTAACAGCAATGAGATCCACATCATGATCTGCTGCCAATTAATTTTTTTTACAGTAAAGTAAGTATTATTATTAGAAGCGTAGAATGTAATAAAAAAATAATTATATTACTTACATCACATGACAATCATCCTCCATAACTATCCACATATAACCCTGTCCAAAATTCAAGCGTAGCAAAATCGGTCAAGTAATTGTGAGCAAACAACAGCGAACCATCCGGTTCTTTATATATATAATGTGTACTATAGAATCTACAAGATTGTCCAACGGTGCTGGTTGTTGCCGTGTAACACATTTCCTCTTCATTTGTATCCATGGCGACTTATACCATATGGACATAACTTTTTGGCGTTTAGAACGCCTAAGAGGTGCTTGCACTGGTTTTTTGTATTCATCCTACGGAATCTCTATTACATCCGACGAGAACCACTAGAATGAGTCCTTGATCCTGACAGACGGCGCTCTATGTCTCTCATGCGCCTTTCAGACATTGACTGTCTAGCCCGAAGTTCCTTAACTTCAGCTTGGGATGCAGCTAGCTGTTGCTGCAGAGTCCCATTGGTTATCCTAGTCCTCTCCATAGCTACCTCGAGTTGGCGAATGCGGACCGTGTTAACGCCAGAGTTGGCGTTAATTTCCATGACTCGGTCGATAGATGCTCTACCTTGCTCCACATTCCGAGCTATCCTACGGACCATGATGGGTAGGACTCGATCAGCTGAGCCTCCCTCGCTTAGATTGTAAAAGCTCCGGTCTCCATTTTACGGTATGGGCTGACCTTGCTCATTACTCCAACGGTTCAAGTTTGTTGCCCACAAGGGTGTGGGACCTCGAAATGCTGGTCGAGGGTTAAGGTTTGGGTTTGGGTTTTGAGCTACTGAGGGTAGGTTGTTGACTTCTGGCTCTGAGTCAGAACCATCAAAAAAAGCCTTCAGCTTGGTGATCATCCAAAGGGATTGGGTGATCATCTTCTGGCTCTTCTCCCAGCCATCATGCATTGCCGTTGTTGGGATAGTATGGATCTCCGGGAAGATGGAATCCAGCCATGATATCTACGTGAGAAAAGGGGTAAAGAAATAGTTAATAGATCGCAAGATGACCGTTAGTCACTTCAATACTTTCATAATGCATACCCGTCAATACTTTATAATATCCCTCGTTATTATATGAAATAGTTAATAGACGACCTAAGTAGATAATTAAGATGCTCTTTATTAGTCACTTCATACTTTCATATGTACCGTACTAAAATCAAAAACAGATAGACCTTCGCATAAGTGTCCTAACTCCAAATCCACAACCAAACAAGGAACAGGAAGAAAAGCAAAGCTCAAGATCTAAGTCTATAAGATCTAGTCACATATAACCTTAGCGTATCCACTTAGCCGTTATTGACCTACTAATAAAACTTTAATTCTCAATAAGCATTTATAGTAACACAAAATATTCTATAGTATTTAAGTTTTGTTCTGTTTAATGTTTTCTTGTAGTATTGTTGGTAAGTTTTGACTTGTTGCAACCTCACAACCACCATTAGGCACATGCTAGTCACTCCTCGGATAATATAGTTGATCAGTCTATATCTTCCCAGGGTTGACTATATGTCTCTAAGTCTAATTGTGAGTCCAACAATCGTAATACTTTTATTCTGTCCTAGTGACACTGATTTTAGGATGAATGCAGGTATGTATACTTGGTTCATATTTTATTATTTAAAAGTATAAAAACTTTGTAAGAGTATTTTAATCCCGTTATGTTTATAGTTTGTATATCTTTATGGGTTGATATACTCGATTCACAATAAACAAAGCTCTAATACCAATCTGTCACACCCCAAAACCGGAACGGCGGAAACGTTCGGGGGTAGAGGACGTCATGTTCAGTATCACAACAATGTATAGTAGTAAACAAGCAACAACATCATCCATTGCATTAATAGTATAATTTCATACAAGTGTGTTCTGTAAAGTTATAAGACACCAAAAATGTAAATCAAAATATGAGACGAGTCTTGAACGACCTCCATCTTCCCAAAATCCTGGCATCGGTACCTGTCTACTAATGACCTGAGAATACAAGTTATTTTGAAAGAGTTTATCAGCTTTAAAGCTGGTGAGTTCATAAATATTTTAATGTCATTGTTTGTATGAAAGTGTTTGTATGTACTTGATGTATAAGTTTGTAAATGTTTGTAATTGTTTGAATCTCCTAGAAAACCCTATGTTTTCTACTAAAAGTAGCCTTCTACCAAGGCATCAAATGTTTGTATGTATGTCTCTTGTAAGAGTATGTATTTTCCCAAATCTGACTATCATTAACCAAAAATATAGTTTTTACATACTGTTCATTGTGTGAAGATCACAAAGTGAATGCAATGGGGAAATAAAATAGTACTGTAGTGTTGTATTAAGTAACTACTGCTGTACTAACTACCTTAAACCAATTGTTTATTTAAAGTACCATGTGATATGCCTGTACCATACTACCGACTAAAAACACGACGATGAAAGACGTCGGAAGAAATGACATTTGGCACCCGTAGACTTGTAAGTCCCACTGTAGCGAGCAGCAAGGTGTAGGATAGTCAATCCAGTATATATCTATACACAAATTCAACGCTCTCCTTCTAGGAGACTCTGGATACAAAACGAGCCATGACAGGTGATGCCATGCCCCGTTACGTGGCTCACATAACTGTTGTAATGTTCTTGTATATGTATTGTATGTACTAGCTGTATTGTATGTTCTCTCTCTGTCTAGTATGTATGTATGTTGTCTCTGTTTCTCATAATAGTATGTTCTATCTGTATGTTATGTTTGTTTCTCGTTAAAGTATTCTTTATCTGTATGTTATGTTTGTTTGTCATCATAGTATTCTCTATCTGTATGTTATTGTTTCTCATCATAGTATTCTATCTGTATGTTATGTTTGTTTCTCATCATAGTATGTATTGACTCATGTATGAACTGACTCTTTGTATGTTTCATTGTTCTAGTAATAGTATTAGTAACTTCCTAAACTATACCTATTATAGTTTACTAGTAGTGATGTTTGTATGAACATGTTTGTATACCTTTGCTACCCAAAGGTATTGAATTGAAAGAAGGAACTTTTATATCTATATACATATACATAATATATAACTAGGATTCAAACGACCTTCGGACAAACAACAGTTACCCTAAGTCCACAACCAAACAAGGAACATGAAGCAAGGTGAGATATCAGTCCTAAGTCCTTTCAATCCTACTTATAATAACTATATCTATTTAGATATACATTTGACAAAGTATAAGTTTAATAAAAGTATTTTAACATGTAAAAGAGTTTTCAAAACAGTTTGAAGTAGTTTGTTT